TTTGCCACAGTTCTAACATTCGGTTGCACCCCTCACGCAGATCGGCAGGGTCAGAGTCCAAAAACACAAGGGATTTGCCACGTGTCTGACATTCGGTGGCATCCCTCATGCAGATCGGCGGGGTCAGGGTCCAAAAACACAAGGGATTTGCCAAATGTTTGAAATTCAATAGCACCCGTGACGCAGATCAGCGGTGTCAGGGTCCAAAAACACAAAGGATTTGCCACATTTCTACAATTCGGCGGCACCCCTCATGCAGATCCCCACATTTCTGACATTCGGTGGCACCCGTGACGCGGATCCGTAGGGTCAGGGTCCAAAAACACAAGGGATTTGCCACATGTCTGAAATTCGGTGGCACCCGTGACGCAGATCTGCAGGGTCAGGGTCGAAAAACAAACAGGTCCCGACACTGCTTCACGGCGGCGCCCAGACCTCATGATTTAGCTTGTGCATCTCCCATTATCCGAGACAGGGGGCCGGCGGCATGGGGCGAAGCCATTACGGATAACTCGGGCCACCAAGGATCACGAACAGAGCTGGGAAAGCAGCTCAGGATCCCAAGGGCTGCGACAGCAGCTATCAAACATTGGGAAAGCAGCTCTTCACTTCCCCCTTCTGGGCGCGGCTTCGACCGGAGGACGCCTAGGCAAAACTCCACTGCGGCAATTTCATCCGTGGCGACATCGGCGGTGGTCGCTGGCACCGCACCGGGCTTTCGGCCCTGAACGGACGGGGGATGCTGAGGGCGAACGGCGCCCAGAATAATAATAAGAAGAATACGATGAAGACAAGCAATGAAAGAAAGACGAAGGAGAATAAGAAGAAGGATGGTAAGAACAACGATAAGAATAAACAGAAGATGAAGAAGATAAAATAATACAAATCACACCATGAAACAAAGAAGGATAACGGCAATTGGAATAATAAGGAGAAGCAGGAGAAGAGCTAGTGCACGCGTCGGCACCCAGCTGCAATGCATCAGATAGCAAGCTGGTTTTAGTAAAGGCGACAGAAGCGATCCCGTTCGAGCTGCAAATCTCCGCGGGAAGGAATGCACGGTTTTCTTTTGTTGGTGTCTCTCTCTCTCTCTCTTTCATGTTTCCCCTTCTCTCTCTGTCTCTCTCGTTCTCTCTCTCGCTCTCTCTCTCTCTCTCTACATCTCTCTCAGTCTCTCCCTCTCTCTCTCTCTCCCCCTCTCTCTCTCTCTCCTTGTCTCTGTCTCTCTCTCTCTCTCTCTCTCTCTACGTATCTCTCTATTTCTCTCTCTTTCTCTCTCTCCCTTTCCCTCTCTGCAAAAGCATGTTATTCCCGACGGAAGCCGCAATCGGCACAATGCGTGCCGTGGCCCATTAGGTTTCACTCAACACCGGGCCCGAATCTGCTGCTCAATGTGCCACTGTCCCTCCTACCTGCGGCTCCGCGTTACAAAACACGAAGGCGAATTGGCTGATCAAGCCGCTCGTTCGCGGTGCTCAAAATCTACGCCCGCACCTACAGAGATGCGTCCTGGCAAATACGTTGAGGCAGATCCTGCTGTGGCGACTTGGTCCCTTCGGGAGCCCAAGAGCGAAGTCAATGTATATGTTATATGCATATGTGTACATTACGTATGTATGTAACTTTGTGTATATACATATACCTATAGATGTATGAGAACAGTCGCGCGCGCTTCGCGCGCGCTCACATTCTAACTAGGCTTGATGGGCGAACGGATGGAATATCATCCTTGTCGTTTCTTGCATCCAAAGACTCTCTTGGAGGCCCTACGCAAGCCCCGGAATCGTATAGAAGAGGAACTACGGAAACGCAAAAATCATTAATTGCCACTCGGTGTTCAAAGATTTGGGGCACTCGAATGCTTCCTGGGTTTTTTCTTGGGGCCTTGAATGTGGGCTGTTGTGCAAGAGTAGACAGGGGGGCGAATTTGGAAAAAAAGAATGGTGGGATTCCCCATTTTTATCAAGTTGTAATACCTGGGTTGTAAGTTCGACGTTTTTGCATGCAGGCCACGGTTTGTTGGGATGCCACTCGGGGTCTTCGTGCAAAAAATGAGGAAGGGGTGGGTTTGAAACAAATCTACAAATCCACTGCTTCAACTCATGGGGCCATGGGATCTCGATGTGTAAGATAGTTTCCAGGGCAGCCATGAGGACACGAAGACAACCCAAGAGAGTGCCAAGACCGCGTCAGAGAGTCCAACAACATTCCTGAAACACTTTTGCATGTGACCGAGAATCCTTGATGGGGCTCGAGGAAGAGGATGAACAGGAGTCCCAGCTTGAAACAATTTGAGCTCTGGAATTCTTTTTTTCAAAATTCCTCGGTCTTGGAACGTTGAAAGCGGGAAAACGTGAGAAGGCGAAAAACGTTTACAAAAACCACTGGGAAACAACGATGTTACCCTCTTCGGGCTCTCTCGGGACGGCTCTCGAAGCTAAGCCTCGTCGGGGATTTGTGGGAAGCCTCTTGGGGTGTGATAGGGGGCCTCTGGGGTCCCGGAGTCCTCTCGGAAATCTCTGGAGGCCTCCTGCTCCCGGCTCTTGGGTTCCTGTTCTCGGGTGGTCTGGAGCTGTCCTGGGCGCCCCTTCGGCAGCTTTGGGGCCGTCTTGGCCCGTCTCCGGGCCGTCTTTAGGCCGTCATGGGGGCCTCTTGGGCGGTCTCGGGGCGGTCTGGGGGGCCTCGTCGGCCGTCCTGGAGCGTTGGAAGCATGAAATGGTGAGAAGGTCAAGAACCTTCTTAAATAACCATGACAATTAGCGATTTTAGATTCCCCAGCCGCTCTCTGGAGACCTCTCGGAGCTCCCTTGAAGTTTTTGGGAGGCCTTTTCGGGAACCTGGAGAGCCGCCCGAAAACTATCCTCGGTTGCCTGGGAGCGTCTTGGTTGTTTGTGCTACGTTTTGGCGGTTTCTTGGGATCGTTTTGGGCTGTTTTGGGGCTGTCTGGGGGTGTCTTTGGGAGGCCGGGAAGCGCGGTACTGGGAGTGTAAGCGAGATGTGAGCGAGGCGGAGGACGCCCCGGGAGGGGGCCCAGCGTATTTGTTTATAGTATCGTATATTATATGATATCATATATGTGTATACGTACGAATTAGAACCATCGCGCGCTTCGCGCGCGCTCAAGTCCTAGCTAAGCTTGATGGGCGAAAGCATCGCATATCATCCTTGCCGCTTCTTGCACCCAGGGATTCTCTTGCAGGCCCCGCGCAAGCCTCAGAATCGCATCGACGGGGAACTGCGGAAACGCAAATCATTAACTGCCACTAGGTGTTCAACGATTTTGGGCCCTCGAAAGCTTGCTGGGTTCAATTCTGAGCTTTCCTTGTGGTCTGTTGTGCCAAAAAAGATAGGGGCGAATTGGAAACAAATACGGAATGGTGGGATTTTCCTTTTTTCAAGTTGTAGTGCCTGGGCTGTGGGAAAGACGTTTTCTGCACGCAGGCCACGGTATGTTGGGATGCGTCTCGGGGTCTTCGTGTAAAAATAAGCAAGGGGTGAGTTTGAAAAAGGAATTCTGCAACTCCACTGCTTCAACTCATGGGGCCATGGGATCCCGATGTGTACGATAGTTTCCGGGCCAGCCAAGTGGACACGAAGACGACCCAAGAGAGTTCAACAGCATTCCTGAAACACTTTTGCATGTGACCCCGAAGCTTTGATGGGGCTCGAGAGAGAGGATGGACAGGAGTCCCAGCTTGAAAAAAAGGGAACTGTGGAATTCCTTTGTTCCCCAAATTCCTCGGTCTTGGAGCGTTGGAATTGGGAAAACGTGAAGAAGCGAAAAACGTTTACAACAACTACTGGGAAGCAGCGATGTTACCCTCTTCGGGTTCTCTCGGGACGGCTCTCGAAGCTCTCTTGGGCTGTTTCGAGGGCCTCGTCGGGGACTTTTTGGGGGCCTCTCAAGGGTTTGGGGTGTGTTCGGGGTCTCTGGAAAATCCCAGAGTCCTCTCGGAGGTCTCTGGAGGCCTCCTGCTCCCGGCTCTTGGGCTCATCTGGGGGGGAGGGCATTTTCTGGCTGCGGCGGCGGCCCTAGTGGCGGACGCGCAATTTCGAGCATACCTTTCGGCCTTCTGGCTATGATCAAGTGTGGGATCTGTTCTTATCACTATGACAACTGAGATGTCTCCAACTGGAGACTTGCTTGTCGCATGTATTGTTCCTGGGGAGGTACATCCTTGAACTTGCTCAGGATTCCTCAAGCACTGCTCTGGTTTGGCACACCGCCAGATGTGGTGCACCCTTCGGGGTAACAATTGAGACGCCTGCACATTACTGGTTGTGTCTATTGTGTCGGGCGCCTGACTGCACCGCGCGGCGGGGCGGCGCGAAGGGACGTCGCGCTGCGGAGCTGTCCTGGGCGCCTCTCCGGCAGTCTTGGGACCGTTTTGGCCTGTCTTGGGGCCGTCTTGGGGGCCTCTTGGGCGGTCTCGGGGCGGTCTTGGGGGCCTCGTCGGCCGTCTTGGAGCGTTGGAAGCATGAAAAGGTGAGCAGGCCAAAAACCTTTTAAACAACCATGACAATCAACGATTTTAGGTTCTCCGGGAGCTCTCGGGAGGCCTCTCGGAGGTCTTTTGGAGGCCTCCTGGGAGCCTGGAGAGCCGCCCGAAAGCGATCCTGGATTGCTTGGGAGCGTCTTGGGCAATTTTTTGGGTTTCCTGGGGTCGTCTTGGGCTGTCTTTGGGCTGTCTTTGGGCTGTCTTTAGGAGGTCGGGAAGCGCGGTACCAGGAGCGTTCCGCAGATGTTCCGGGAAGGTGTGGGACCCCCGGGAGGGGGCCCGCATGTGTTGAATTTGTCTTCAAAAGGGAATAGATGGGAAAGAAGGGATCTCTGAAATTCTTGTCTATGTTTAATTCCTCTGTCTTGGAGCGTTGGAAGCCGCAAAACGTGAGAAGGCGAACAAAGTCTACTATAACCACTGAAAAAAAACAATGTCTTTACCCACTTCGGGTTCTCTCGGGACGACTCTCGAAGCTCTCCTGGGCTTTTTCTATATTCCCCCCCCCCACACCGACTGCGAATGTCCACTGCACTGCGCTGACGATGGTCTACCTCCTGGATGCATGCACTGCTCCGCACGTATTCACCACCATTGCAAGACCTTACCTTGCTCCAGAGATGCTGCCCGTCGCTAAACATAACAATCTCACACACAATGATGCCGGGAGCTCGGCAAGTATGATGAGGAAACACAAGAGCGAGGTATTTAACCGTCACGCTCTTTGTCACACACTGAATGGCACACATATTCGCTCTTAACATTGACCGACACGGCGAGAAACACCGCTTGGGCGGACTGTTTCGGCCATTGTATCGAAGTTCGGCCAGAGTCGTCATAGTGAATCGGTCGCCGCTGCAGTTCGCGGATAGTACCCGAACGCATGCCTGGGGGGGGAGGGGGGGCCCATTTCACAGCTTGCATGCCTTGGGGGGGAGGGTGGCGCGGCACGATCAAGCGCCCGCGCGCGCTGCGGCGGCGGCCCTGGCGCCTCACAGGCCACGAAGGTCCGTCCCCGGCGTCACCACCTGCGAAGGCCGCGCTGCGGGGCCACCGCTGGGCGGCCGAGGCACCGGGCCCTGGAGCTGCACGTGGCCGTCCGCCGCTGCGGGCCGCGCCGCGCCGCCTGCGAGGGCGGCCGCCTGGGCGGCACTCCGCGAGATCTGCTCCTGGGCCAGCACCTGGCCGCTGGCGGCCTATGGCGGCAGGGGTGCCGTAGCGCGACGGCCGCCGCGGACCAGGGGGCGCGCGCCGGCACAGCAGTAGGTCCTGGAGGACGACCCGCACAACTCCGCGGCCGCGGTCCTGGCCGTCGCGCGGCCGCTCCAGGTCGAGCCGCAGGCGCGCACCCTAAACCCTAAACCCTAAACCCTAAACCCTAAACCCACCCTAAACCCTAAACCCTAAACCCTAAACCCCTAAAGTGGAGGCGCTTGGGGTACTGCGGGTGAGCGGAGTCGGAGCCCTCCTGCAGGAAAGAAATGTACGCCTGCTGCGCCCAGCAGACGAACTCTTCCACGTGCTACGGCCGCACGGCAGACAGGAGCCCACCCTGGGCGTCCACGTACTTCGTGAACGCGAAGGTTTCGAGCCTCACTTCGTAGGTCGGGGTCAAGAGGTCGACCCAGGCCACGGGCTCCGCCTCGGCGCCCAGGTCCTCCCACTTCTCGTCCAGCGAGGAGGCCTCGGGGCTCACGTCTGTTGACGCCTGACCGGAGGCCTCGGCCGTGGAGTCCGCAGGGGCGGCCGGGAGCCTGACGAGTGCTGTACAGGAGCTCTGCGGGCCGCTCGCTCTCTCGTCACGCCGCGTCCTCTCCGACACGCTGCCCCTCAGCATCGGGGCGGTGTCCGTGAACTCGCGGATGCCGATGAAGTGTGCGGTCTGCCCCTCCCGATTGACGAAGCGCACGCAGAACATCTCGACCTCGAGGGTCACGCTGGAGCTGTCCTTCATGGAGACGTGGAACGCCGCGCTGAGCCCAACCGAATCCTCGGGGCTGAGCCCAACCGAATCCTCGATCGGAAGCAAGACCTTGCTGATCTGCTCGGAGAACTTCTCGCGGTTGTGCCGGGACGCCAGGAACTGCCTAAAGTCCTCGCCCAGGATGGGGCGCAGTGGGTTCAGCAGGAGCATGCCCACCAGCTCGGAGGACCCGTCCTGCAGTCGGAAGTCGCTGTCGAGCTCCACGACGGCGTCGCAGACGCCCCGCAGCACCGAGCGCGCAGCCTTCAGCTCGTTTCTCGAGATGTTAGCTTCCATGTCGTACTGCACGACCAAGTAGACTGACTGATGAACGATCGTTAGTAAAATGGAGAAGATGCAATTGGCCACCAGCACCTGAGTAACCCTCTGCGTCCGGTCTGGCAGAAACTCTTCAACAAAACTTTCGGTGCCGAAATAGATGGTGCTGCAGATTGACAAAGATACGCTCCATAGACATGTGACGTTCAAACGGAAATTCATGCTGAACAAGCAGAGCACCAAAGTAGCACCGAAGGGTAACAGAGATGAGGAGGCCTCAACACCCGAGGCAAGAGGCGATACCCACAGGACAACCAATGCCATCATAAATGAAAACCATAGATCTAATGTTCGTAACGTCAGACTTTGAGGAAACGCCCAAAGAAAGAGAACGATGCAAAAACCCCACAAACTGGCACATGTCCTGTACCCAGGAATTCGGGCGTGAGACACCAATGGTAGTCCTACAGAGACCGAGTCCAAGAGCGCCTGCAACGGCCACGCAGCAATATGGGATCGAGGCACGCGCGTGAACCAGCCGCTTCGTTTGCAACTCCTTGGCCACCTGCCTCGTGGAGGGGTGGTCCACTGTGCCAGCCAGGAACTGCTCCAAGCGTCTTCGCAGTCCGAACAGCTGGCCGAAGCACGAGGCCAAGGATGATCGCTGCGACCTCTGCCCCATTTGCCCGGCCACGCGGACGAGCAGAACGCACCCGCCCAACACGAACCAGGTGACGCACATAGCAATAAACACCCTCCTCTGGACTCCCGTTTCCACATCCTTGTGGGCGGCGGCCTCCATGGTCGACGCGTGCGCCGCGGTGCTCACCAGCGCCAGGCTCGGCAGCGGCCCCAGAGAGAATACACCTGCGCCGCTTGAGCCAAAATGGCTACGGAAGCTCTCCTGGGCTGTTTGGGGGGCTTTGTCGGCGCATATTTTTGGGGGCATCTCAGGAGTCTGGGGTGTGTTGAAGGCCTCTGGGAGGTCCCGGAGTCCTCTCGGAGGTCTCTGGCGGCCTCCTGCTCCAGCTCTTGGGCTCACCTGGGGTTTATTCTTGGGTGCTTTGGAGATGTCCTGGGCGCTTATCCGGAAGTCTTGGGACCGTCTTGGCCCGTCTTGGGGCCGTCTTAGGGGCCTCTTGGGCGCTCTTGGGGCGGTCTTGTGGGCATCTTCGGCCGTCTTGAAGCGTTGGAAGCATGAAATTGTGAGAAGACCAAAAACCTTGCAAAAAGCAAACAAAATATCCCAGCAGAGCAACCTAACAGCGATGTGTAGGAGCATATCTGGAAGCATTCCCCTTAAGATTCAGATGAGAATCCAGTTGTAGAATTCTGCTGTTCTCGCAGTCGTAGTCGCATTCGCGATGACAGTCGCAGTGGCAACGGCAGTCGCAGTCACAGCCTCAGCCTCAGCCTGCCTCAGCCTCAGCCTCAGCCTGCCTCAGCCTCAGCCTGCCTCAGCCTCAGCCTCAGCCTGCTTCAGCCTCAGCCTCAGTCTGCCTTCAGCCTCGGCCTCAGCCTCAGCCTGCCTCAGCCTCAGCCTGCATCAGCCTCAGCCTCAGCCTCAGCCTGCCTCAGCATCAGCCTGCCTCAGCCTCAGCCTCAGCCTGCCTCAGCCTCAGCCTCAGCCTGCTTCAGCCTCAGCCTCAGTCTGCCTTCAGCCTCGGCCTCAGCCTCAGCCTGCCTCAGCCTCAGCCTGCCTCAGCCTCAGCATCAGCCTGCCTCAGCATTCAAAATGTGGCCCGGGAATGGAGTTCTGGGAACTCGAAGAACACGAAGTGGCCTACAGTTGGCTCCGGGCATTCAAAATCATGCCCAGGAATGGAGTTCTGGGAACTCGAAGACCACGAAGTGGCCTACAGTTGGCTCCGGGTATTCAAAATGTGGCCCGGGAATGGAGTTCTGGGAACTCGAAGACCACGAAGTGGCCTACAGTTGGCTCCGGGCATTCAAAATGTGGCCCGGGAATGGAGTTCTGGGACCTCGAAGAGCACGAAGTGGCCTACAGTTGGCTCCCGGAATTCAGAATGTGGCTCGGGAATGGAGTTCTGGGACCTCGAAGACCACGAAGTGTGTGACTGTTTGTTTAAAACGAGCCCGGTTCTCGCCTGTCTGGCTCCCGCCCAGACCCCCCTGGGGAGTCATCAGATGCTCTCTTTTGACCCCATTAGAAACCTATCAGTTTCGCTGTTAGGTAAAAAAACGATTCGGATTCTCCGGGCGCTCTCGGGGGGCCTCTCGGAGCTCTCTTGAGGTCTCCTGGAGGCCTCCTGGGAGCCTGAAGAGCCGCCCTCCTGCTCCGTCGTGGCAGACAGTAAGCGCGGAGGATGAAGGAGAAGATTGGGACAGCATGGGGCGCATGCTGCAGCAAGCGTGGGGCAGGCAACAGCAGAGAGGTCGGGATGAAGCCGGCCTGGGCGCGGGCAAGAGATAGCACTCAGTGGGGATGTTCGTCTTCCTGAGCACCGCCTACCTTTACCCAGGGGTAAGGAAAAGGCCCAAATCTAGACAGCATCTCCTTGTAAGAGGACCAGCAGGGGCGGTCATCATGTCTGTGAAGAGGACGAGGTGGACCCGGCCAGCGTGGCACACCTCTGTCCCCAAAGAGTGCCACGAACTGAACATGCAGGAGGTGTGCCCCATGGACACCTCGCTGGGTAGTCGAAGCCAATCTGGCGCCAATCTGGCAGGCCCAATCTGGCAAACGGGGGCAATCTGGCGAGGGAGCCAACGCGAATCCAGTCTGGCGAATAACCCCAATCATCCAGTTTGGCCGGGCCAGATTGGCCCTTGGGGCCCAATCCAATCTGACAGTCTGGCCTTCGACTACCCAGTCTCGGCCATGCTGCGCAAGGATGTGCAGAGCACGCTGTGGGAGAACTGGACCAAGGCGGAGGAGCACAAGAGCCTGAGTCCAGCGCCCTTCATGGCACCAGCGGTTGCACAGCTACGAGCCAGGGACTTCCCGAAGCACGCCAAGAACGCAGCCAAGAAGGTGTTCGTGGGCGGGGCTTGGACGATGGCAAGGCTAAGTCAATGCAACATAGTGCCGACGGACATCTGCCTGGCGTGCGGCAAGGCGGTGGGGACCGAGCACCAATGGTATTACAAGTGTGAAGCGCTCAGGGACCAGAGGCTGCAGGCGCAAGCGGACTGGCAGCACATCGCGGAGCAGCAGGACACGAACATGTTGTGGACGAGAGGGCTGGTTCGGTCGCCAGAGGCGGCCTGGGCATTCACAAGCATAGGTGAGGAACAGTACTACGGGCAGGTCGCACAAGGAGACGAGGACTACTTCACAGGCGACATAGTGTGTGATGGCTCGAAATTAGGATACAGCGATTGGGCGCACACGGGCTGGGCCGCTATGTCGCTAGCAGAGGACGGCACAGCAAGGATGCAGTTGTGGGGACCACTGCCGTGTAGGTTACCCATCCACAGACGGGTAAAGAGAGCGGAGATGTGGGCCTTCCTGAAGGTGCTGGAGAGGATGATGCCACCAGGAAGGATCTACACGGACCATAAGGGCATCATCGAGGGCCTGCAGAAGGGCGAGAGGTGGTGCACCAGCTGGAGGCGTCCGCACGCAGACATCTGGAAGCGCATATGGCACAAGGTGGAGGACTTGGATCTGGATGTCAATTGCGTCAAGCACGTGAAAGCGCACAGGTCCACGGCGAAGATCGAGCAGTTGGAGGGCGACGACCTGAAGATAGCGAAGGGTAATGGAGAGGTGGGCCTGCTGGCCAAGGCAGGGGCTGAGGGAAGCACCACGCCTTGGAGGAACTAGCTGTACGTGTGCGGTGGGCGCTGCAGAACCTGGGCTGGTGGTATCAGAAGACGGCGGGAGTTTGGCCAGATGTACCTCCGAAAGAGAAAGGAGTTCCAAAGAGGAAAATGGCGAAGCCGCAGATAGCGCTCACCCAGCACGAGATAGTGGAGCAGGGCGGCTGGCTAGTGTGCACGAGGTGCGGGATGCGGGCCGCGTCGAGAAGGATGCGCAAGAAGTTGTGGCAGGCGGAGTGTGCAAGGCCGAAATGGACGTCGACGGGTGCGAGCAGTGGTGCTGGAAGTTCGCTGGAGGCCAGTGTGGCCATTGCGGCAGCCGCTACTGTGGCAGCTGCAGGAGGCGTAGGAGGCCGATCGGACCCTGAAGACGGCGATAAGGACGAACGTGGAGGCAGATCGCATCGGGTAGAGGTGCATGAGCCATACGTGGTGCGTGTCGTGTGTGGCGCGCACTCGGCGAGGAGGCGAGCAGGTCTGGGTGCTGCATGTCCAGGGCCGCTGCAGCACCGAGGATGGTCGAGCAAAGACGACGCGAAGAGAAAGAAGCGAGACAGGATCCTGGCAGGCAAGCACCGGCAGACAGGGAAGCCGCTGGATCACAGCCTTGTGCTACCTGTGCAGCGAAGGTAGCGCAAGAATGAGAATGCAGCGTTGTTGTCGATGTGAGCATGGAAACGTGAAGACGCTGGTGATCAATGCTGGAGGGGCCAGCAGGGTTCTCTGCTACGAGTAGCAAGGGAACGATTTCGAACTGGAGTACGACGGGTACGACCAGCTGATGACGGCCAACCTGGCCTGTTGCATGCCGCGGTTGTGCGGCGGACGAGCCTCGTGGCGGGATCCGCTGGAGGTTTGAGGGAGGAAAAAAAAAGCCTGAAGAGCCGCCCGAAATCTTGGACTGTCTTTGGGCGGGAGCGCGGGACCCTGGGAGGAGGGGGCGCGCTTTCGTTGACCCCCCAAAAAAGGAACCTCTGAATTCCTTTTTTATTTAAAAAAAGATCCTCGGTCTTGGAGCGTTGGAAGCCGCAAAATGTGAGAAGGCGAAAGAAATCTACAAAAACAATTGAAACCAACGTGTTTACCATCTTCGGGCTCTCTCGGGACGGCTCCCGAAGCTCTCCTGGGCTGTTTGGGGGGCCTTGTCGGCGCGTATGTTTGGGGGCCTCTCAGGGGTCTGGGGTGTGTTGGAAGCCTCTGGGGGGTCCCGGAGTCCTCTCGGAGGTCTCTGGCGGCCTCCTGCTCCCGCTCTTGGGCTCATCTGGGGCTTGTTAAGGGGGGGTCTGGAACTGTCCGGGGCGCCTCTTCGGCAGTCTTGGGACCGTCTTGGCCCGTCTTGGGGCCGTTTTGGGGGCCTCTGGGGCGGTCTTGGGGGCGTCCTCGGCCGTCTTGAAGCGTTGGAAGCATGAAATGGTGAGAAGGCCAAAAACCTTGCAACAAAAACAATGAAATAACGATTTCGGATTCTCCGGGCGCTCTCGGGAGGCCTCTCGGAGCTCTCTTGAGGTCTCTTGGAGGCCTCCTGGGAGCCTGGAGAGCCGCCCGAAAGCTATCATGGGTTGCTTGGGAGCGTCTTGGGCATATGCGTTACAACGCATGCAGCAAAACCCAATGCACATAACCCCGCACATGCCCGGGCACATGCGCACAGGAGGACATTCATCCAAAAGCGCCCGCACATGCCGGGCACATGCCTGGCACATGCTGCGCACATGCACGCACATGCCCGAGCAAAAACGGCCGCATCTATACCCACCCAGGGGTATAGAACTGAGTGCGGTGTACGTTGTGGGGGTTTCTTGGGGTCGTTCTGGACTGTCTTTGGGCATTGTGGGGCTCCCCGGGAGGCCGTACCGGGAGCGTACACCAAGTGTGAGCGAGGTGGAGGACGCCCTGGGAGAGGGCCCGGCATATTTGCATATATTAAATGCGCATGAAGGCCAAGTACATCTGCTCTTCGACACTCGCCAGTCGAAGGCACACGCGAAACGCGCTGAATAAGAGAAGTGTCTGAATAGTTCCCGCTAAACACCGAAGGCCAGTACTCGAGCCTGCAAGCTTGCACTGGTCGAGGCCACATGGGTGGCACGCGCAGGCTTTGCGCTCTCCACCGAAGAGCTGCTTGACCACCGTGGGCGGGTGGGAACGCAGCGGGGCCAAAACATTACAAATGCAGCCGAGACGAGCCTGATGAGACAACGGGCCATCAAAAAACCATCCAGCAATCTCTGCCGATCTACGAATACCAATTACATCTATTACCCGACCCTCGTCAGATAAAGGCACGCACGAAGCGTGCTGAATAAATGAAGCGTCTGAACTCTTTCAAAGAACAGCGATAGCCAACGCCCCAGCCTGCAAGCTTGCACTGGTCAGTGAGTGCCACATCACCTTCCCCGATCAAGCGTGAGCTCCAAGAATTGAGCGACTTCCCGCACGTGGGGGGGGGCAATAAGCAAGAAACCAAGAATCTGGAAAACGATTGACGCTCAAACAAGCGAGGTCCGCTATCCCTCGGCGGAGATATTCACGGGCCGACCTCTCCGAGAGCCATCTGCCGAACAACATGGCGTCTGCCGAACTGCAGGGCGTCTGCAGCCTTGTGGCACCACCCCGTCGAAGTCCGCGCGCGACCCAGCGCACGGCGCCGAACCCCGAAGCACCAGCTGCCTTCAACAACCGACGCTGCAGGCGCGGGTGCGACACCTGATAGAGGCGCCGAGTAGGCTCGGGCCCGATGCGAGCTGCGCAGCGCGCAATCCGAGTCACTGTCGATGGCTCCTCGAGCGATACGGTCTGCCCCCCACCTCTTGGCACGGCCCAGCAGCGAAACGGGCCCCGAAGGAGTCCTGATCCACGCGGCGCCATCAAGCGAGGGCGCCTCAGACGCGCGCAGCAAGACAGCGAAGCAGAGGCTGGGTAGTCGAAGCCAATCTGGCAGGCCCAATCTGGCAAACGGGGGCAATCTGGCGAGGGAGCCAACGCGAATCCAGTCTGGCGAATAACCCCAATCATCCAGTTTGGCTGGGCCAGATTGGCCCTTGGGGCCCAATCCAATCTGACAGTCTGGCCTTCGACTACCCAGAAAGCAGAGAGGAACACCGCGGCGGCGCAAGCGAGCTCCAGACGCAGAGCGCCTTCCAGGTTAGCGCGGCAGCGACGCCGAGGGCCCGCCTCCGCGAGGGCCGCCAACATGGGCGGACGCCGACCCACGGCCCTCGACGCCGCCAGAACTTGCCGTCGCTCGGACGCCCATGTCCCGTGCCTGTTTCGGTTGCGTGCGTTTTTGTTGCTCGATGGCTCGGGATGGTCCTCGAGGGTTCTCGGCGAGAAAACATGCACACGTCCGAGCGATGCCGAGAGAAGACTCGAGCACGTCGACGACGCGCTCTGCCAGGAACCAGCCCAGCTCCTCCTCAGAGGACGGGTCGGACTGACGCCCACGGCCTCCAGGTCAGAGCTGACGGCGCCGAGGGCCGAGGCGCAGCTCTGCGTGGTCACCGGCGTGGGCGAGCTCGTCAACATGCAATGACGCGCCCGCGGCGCCTGCCACGATCGTCGGCCACGACACGACTGCCCGCGGGAATTGGTCAGGAAACCCACGGCCGAACGGGCCCCAGACGCGGCCGCGGAAGATTAACGGGCCAACTGCGCCGCGACGGATACCCCCCTCGGCATCGGTCCACGCATACCTTTGCGACGATGCGGGCGGTTGCAACGAAGTCCAAGAACGCCCTCGTTCGCGACGATAGAGACGTGCCTACTCTGATCGAACGAGCCCGGAACTCCGAGGACCAATCCACGACCTCCTTGGGACTCCAGAACGAAGGATAAGGACCCCAACCTGGGTCCTTCGGATGCCCCTGACCTGCCCACCCCTGACGCATTACGACTCCGCTGAAGAGCTCGAGGCAGAGGGGGAACGCATGGGCTCCAAACGCACAGGCACGTCGCTCGGTATCCGCAAGTCCTGGCAGCGGCACGAAAGGGCTGGGCCTGGAGCGCAGGGGCCGTGGCCCAAGTGGGAGCGGGCGGTACCCATCGGTCGGAAGAAGTGGGTAGAAACATGAAGTAGGAAGGCGTTGGAAATAGATTGGGTTTCCGCCCTCCTCCCGAAGAGGAGGGAAGAGGGAAAACCACTCGACCCTTGAAGTAGGAAGGCACTGAAAGTAGATTGGAATCTGGGAATCCAGAAATATCTACTTTCAACGACCGATGGGTACCTGGCTCGGCTCACTGTCGAACACGGCGGGCCAGCAAGCAGACCCAAGACGCCCTCGCTGCGACAGGGGCCCCTTTGGCTCCTGCACCGGCGCGGGCGACGCGAGGTCGTGCGAGGCATCGATCGCAGGGTCATGGGCGATGGCCCTGATCTCCAGGCCTGCCCCCCGCGCTGGCGCCCTTCGAGGCCTCGCGGCGTGATTCTCTGGGGCCTCCAGACGCCCTGCATGGATCGTGAATCGAGGGCCTCTGGAAGCCTTCTCTGGGAACGCCACGCCGTGCAGGACGTGGGCGCGAGACCTGTGATGCGTTTCTGGAGATCTAGTGGGAAGCCCCATGGGGGACTTGCGGAAGCATGTTGGGGGTCTCTCGGGGGCTCTTGGGCCTTCTTGGGCGTCCTGTTGGGCTCTGTTGGGCCAGCTGGGGGCCTTCTTGGGCCGTCTCGGGGCCCTCTTGGGCCGCCTTGGGGGGCCTGGGCAGTCTTCGGGCCCTCCTGGGACCTTGTTTGGCCGTCAAGGGGGCCTCTTATGGCCCTCTTGGGGCACCCTTGGCCTGTCTTAGGCATTATTGGGGCTCTCTTGGGCCGTCTTCGAATCCTCTTGGGCCGCCTTCGGGCCCTCTTGGGGACCTGATGGGTCGTCTTGAAACAATATTAGGGACCTTTTGGGTCGTCTTGGACGCTGCACTAAGGACCAAAGAAGCGAATACGCTGAAAATATACGTTTCCCCTTGCATTTTGTTGGGGAGCCTCTTGGGCCGTCTTGGCGGACTCTGTTGCCGTCCAGAAGCCATCTTGGGCCCTCTTGGAGCACTCTTGGGCCATTGTGTAAGTATCTTACGGCGCCCTGGAAACCAATTCGGCCAGCTCGGGGGCCTCTTGGGCTGGTGTGTATGGGGGGGGGGCGTTTTCGACTGTCCAGGAGATCTTCCAACAGGGCGCTAGGGAGCACCGTCCAAAGGGTATGGCGAGGGGGGTGACGGCCATCTGGGGGGTCCGTTCAGGATGTTAAATGTACAAACATATACACCTCGCTCTCACTCTCTGCTTCTCTTTCTCTTTCTCTTTTTCTCTCTCGCTCTCTCTCTCTCTCTCTCCCTCTCTAATCCTCCCTCGCTCCACCTGTAGAATGCGAAAGCTTGAAGGACAAAGTGCATTGCGCGAAGCGCCAATGCTTTCCTATATGTGTCTGCATTCGTACAGATAGCAGGCATCTCATACCCGTCTCTCTATCTCACTGTCTCACTCTGTAAGTCCTCGCTGCAATCAACAAAATGCGGGGGGAACCCTTGGGGGCCCTTGGCGAGTCCGGTGCTGTCCTCGCTGTCCAAACGCTACACCAGATTCGGACCGACCTGCAGCATGCAAGTCAAGCGCCCTGCCCCTGGAGCCACACTCGGATCCCCCGATCGAA